TGGACTGGTTTTGGGATGCGGTGGGGGGAGGGGAGATTTTGAAACTTGTGAAATCCACAATCAAACATTACTATTTAGTTTTAGACTGGGAGAAGATGTGAATTTCGGTTGACAGAGAGTTACAATTCACTCAGGAAGTTTGAGTTAACACAGTGTGGAACACAGTTCTGAAGAAGGGTCTGAAACCGAATCGTCGACTTTCCTGCTCCTCTGATGCTGCCTGACCTGCTGTGTTCCTCCAGCTCCATACTGTGTTGACTCTGACTCCAGCATCTGCAGTTCTTGCTATCTAGGAAGTTTGAGTTACTGTGGTAACGTGCAGTTGTACATACGTGTAGTCTAGAGCTCTGGATGGTGATGCCAGAGGCTCCATGCATTACGTGGCTAATCTGTCCCTCTCTTGCTATCCACCATTGATGTATATTGGCAGGATTTATCGGTTGATACTAAACTTGTTTGGTTGCCTTATGAATGTCAGGCCATTGACTTCTGGAGTGGTACTCAAATTTCTGCCCCAGGGAAGTGGGCACTACCAACTGAACCTCAACACCTCACTAAACAGTTTATATATATTTATAAATATTATAGAGTAGTATACCCCATATGCAAAGTAATGCATAATTCGCATATAATTAATCTACACACGTATGTGCAATGTTAATTATGTGTTATATGAAGCTGCATTTATATTAGGATACAGGCTGTGTTGGTGACCCTGGCTCTGGTTTTGATTTATCAGCTGTTTTATTCACTCCCTCCTCCACCAATCACTGACACTCAGTCATAGCAATGTGTACCATCTACAAGATGCACTGCAGAAATTCATCAAGGCTCCTTAGACAGCACCCTCCGAACCTATGACCATTTCTGTCTAGAAAGACAAAGGATGCGGATACATGGGAACACCACCACCTGCAAGTTTCCTTCCAAACCTCTCACCATTCTGACTTGGAACTATATTGCTGGGTCAAAATCCTGGAACTCACTCTCTAACAGCATTGTTAGTCTACCTACAACAAATGGACAGCAGCAGTTCAAGAAAACAGGTCACCACCACCATCTCCATTGCAATTCGGGATGGCCCTCCCACATCCTATTAATGAATAAAACACCCTGTGTAACAAACTCACTGGAATTGTTAAAGTGATTAGTGGGAAGGGACATTTTCCAACTGGTAGATGAAATTGTATATTTCAGGTGATGAGAGGGAATGTCAAGTGACAACAGGATAAAGTACTGATGCGATGAATTTTGTGGTCGATGACTCCCATCAACTGGTCTCTCACATTACCAGGAGACCAGCCATATGCAATTGCACTGGCATGTATGTATTTGGTGTCTTCAACTCCAGGTGGGGAGGGGAGTAACAGATAATGGAAAGAAATCTTAAGGTTGTGAATGTAGTCCAATCCAGTCTACAGAGCAGAGCTTGTGTTTTGAAGCCCAGATGTGGGATTTGAACACGTAACCTAACCTAACCTAACCCAATCTGTTGCAGTTAAACCAAGAATTACATTTATATAGCCTCTCAAGGTATCAAGGGGAGGAAGTACTGTTGTAGCAATGTCATTGGACCAGTAATCCAGAGCTTACTGGGGACAGTAGTTGAATGCCACCATGATGCTGAAATATTATACAAAAAAATCTGGAATTTAAACAAACTGGTTTAATGGTGACAATGTAACCATTACTGCTTGTTGCAACGTTCCATCCAGTTCACTAATGTCTGTCAGGAGAAGGAAATCTGCCATCTTTATCTGGATAGGGCCACATGTGACTCCAGACCAACAGCAATGTGGTCACTAGAAGTTTATAACATCATGAGGGACAGAGATAGGGTGAATAGCCAAGGTATTTTCTCCAGTGCAGGAGAGTCCAAAACTAGAGGGCATGGGTTTACAGTAAGAGGGGAAGGATTTAAAAGGGACATGAGGGGCAATGTTTTCATGCAGAGGGTGGTACGTTATGGAATGAACTGCTAGAGGAAGTGTGGAGGCTGGTACAATTACAACATTTAAAAGGCATCTGAGTGGATACATGAATAGGAAGGGTTTAGAGGAATACAGGCCAAATGTGGAGAGATGACGGCCTAGTGGCATTATCATTGGTCTGTTAATCTACGTACTGTTCCAGGGACTTGGGTTCAAATCCCACCATGGCATATGGTGGAATTAGAATTAAATAAGTATCTAGAATTGAGAAACTGGTGATGACCATGAATCCATTGTCAATTGTTGGGGAAGAGCCCATCTGGTTCACTAATGTCTTTTAGGGAAGGAAACTTTATCTGGTCTGGTCTACATGTGATTCCAGACCCACAGCAATGTGGTTGACTCTTAACTGTCCTCTGGGCAATTAAGTATGGTCAATAAATGCTGGCCTAGTTAGTGATGCCCTCATCCAATGAATGAAAAAAAGGCAAATTCTGGCAAATGGAACTAGATTAACTTAGGGTATATGGTTGGCATGGATGAGTTGGACAGAAGGGTCTGTTTCTGCGCAGTACACTCTATGAAGCTATGATTCAAATGGCTTAGAGAGCCAAGACGTTTGAGGGCAACTAAGGATGGGCAACAAATTATCAGGCTTGCTAGCAAAGCCCGACATCCCACACAAGAAAGGTGAGGAAAAGCTGTCAGTGAACTTTACATTGAATTAAGTTGAGGGAAAACTATTGGGCAGGAGAGCAGAATGAAATTCCTTTCTTTTCAAATATATCAGTACGTTTAAAACCAGTAGAGTGGACAAACTCGGTTTGACATTATATCTGAAAAACAACATCTTGGATAGTACAGCACTTGCTCAGTTCTGAGCTGGAGTTTTAGTGACGTTTTATCTACTCAATTCTATGGAGTGGAAGATGAACTTGTAACCTTCTGACTGAGAGGAGATACCACTGAGCAACAGCAGACTTTTAATGTATTGCAGATAAGATGTTTCTGATAAAGAATTCATGCTAGAAATTTGCACAAAGCTGGTTTGCAAAGTGAAGTGAGTTTTCATTATCTTAATGTTCCCTGTTGCAATATCAGCTTAGGTCTTTGTTTCGAGCTCCTGCATTGGGGAATAGTGAGGCCACTTCAAAGTAACATGAGTGCTTCCTCAAATATGTGTAAATTAAGAAAAACTTGCTTGCAAACAATACTTTTAAAATCCCAAGGTATAATTCACAGAAATGTTATTGAACAAAATCCAACACTGGGCCACATAAAACAGATATTTGTACAGGGTGATCTAAAGTTTGGTCAAAGATATAGATTTTAAATCATAAGGGAAGAGAAAGAGGCAGAGGGCTTCGGGGGAGATTCTCGAGTTTGGAGTCCAGGCTGCTGAAGATATACCACTACAGTGAGGTATTTAGAATCAGGGTTGTAGAATTGACAAGATTTCAGAAAGTTAAGAGACTAGAGATGTTGCCATTGATAGGGAGGGACCAGGCAGTGTAGGATTTTGAAAGATAAATCAAGATATTAGGACAAGATAGGCTGGGTTTTGTTGGGGCACAATTATAAATTCAAGCCTTTGTGTATGTTAAATATGAACAGTAGACGCAATACTTTGTAGCATTAAGCGCAGCATATTCTCCATATTTGGACTACTCTACATTTGCTAATAGTTTCCATGGTGGTTTATTTCACAAGTTATATTTACCATTGTCTCTTAAAAGAGATTTTCAGTTGTTTATGAGTCTGGCAGTGTTTGAATTGCCCTCTTTTGTCCCTGAGAAGTTGATTTGAATAAGTTCAAAGGTGCTCTATCAAAAGATAAATAGTGTTGGAGGAGGGTGGGGTGTGGGGCTGATGGGCTTTGAGACCAAGGCCCAGAATATACAAATCACACCAAACAAGTCTGATTCTGCTTAAAAATAAAGCTGACTGTCAAGTTCCAGTGCTGGATGTGACAAATGACTAGACAAACAGAGTCCTGAATCTACACTGAGCTTTTCAGCAGAAGTCAATTATTATTTTAAAAAATTTGAATTGGCTTGCAATCAGACGTGTTTTTTTTTCCACAGGTCTAGAGACTTCTCAAGTTTCATTTAGTTGCATAATGTGCATTTCTAATACAACCCTTGTACAGGACAACAGGCTGCAGGTAAGACGCACAGTGATGGTGTTACACATAGCTACCTTTCAAGCAGTTGACTAGGTTCAATTGTTGACCGCCGCAAGTTCTGAATTTCAAGGAGGTTTGTTAGCTCAGGTGACTGGACTGCTGGATCAGAATGTAGAGTGGAGCCTGCACTGTGAGTTCAATTCCACAAAGGCCTCTCCTTTCCTCTCAGCTGAGGTGTGCTGACTCTGAGGTTAAATGACCACCAGTCGTCTCTTTCTGATGAGAGAGCAGGACTATGGTGACTTTATCTTTTTACTTTTACACAGTAGCAGTGATAAAGTGGCAAACAAAAGGTGAGGGCAATGGTCTAAAGCCAGGATGAAGGAAAGGTTTTGTCAAGTGGTTTTTTAAGGCAGAAAGGGAGACAGAGACCAAAGCTGATGTTGTATGTACACACCTCTGAGTCAGAATTCTCTGCGTCTAAGCAAAACTCAGAACTTGTTTTCCATTGATGAATTCAAGGCCTGGTGATCTATTTAGATTTCCAGAAGGCCTTTGACAAGGTGCTGCACAGGTGGCTGCTAAATAAGACAAGACCCCATGGTGTTACTGGTAAGGTACTGCATGGACAGAGGATTGGTTGACTGGAAGAAGACAGAGAGTTAGGGATAAAGGGGTCTTTTTGGGGATGGCAGTCAGTGACTAATGGAGTTCTGCAGGGATCAGTGGTAGGAGCCCAAATTTTCACATTATTCACCAATGATCTGGATGATGGAACTGAGTGCATCCTTACTAAGTTTGCAGATGACACAAAGATAGGTGAAGGGACAGGTTGCGTTAAAGAAGTGGGGATATTGCAGAAGGACTTGGACATGGTAGGTGAGTTAGCAAAGAAGCAGCAGATGGATTACAATGTAGAAAGGTGTGAGGTTATGCACATTGGTAGGAAGAATAGAGGTGTAGATTATTTTCTAAATGGGGAATGGCTTCGGAAATCTGAAGCACAAAGGGACTGGGGAGTCTGAGTTCAGGATTCGCTTAACATTATCATGCAGATGCAGTTGACAGGAAGACAAATGCAATGTTAGATAACAAGGTGTAGAGCTGGATGAACACAGCAGGCTAAGCAGCATCAGAGGAGCAGGAAGGCTGACATTTCGGGCCTGGACCCTTCTTCATTTCAAGAGGGCTAGAGTACAAGAGCAGGGATGTACTGCGGAGGCTGTAGAAAGCTCTGGTCAGATCACAATTGGAATATTGTGAGCTGTTTTGGACCTCATCTATAAGGAAGGATGTGCTGGTGTTGGAAGGGTTTAGAGAGATATGGGCTAAATGCAGGCAAGTGTGACTAGTTTAGTTTGGGAAACTTGGTTGAAAGGGTCTCTCTGTGTGTTGTATGACCCTAAGACTCTATAAGAGTATGGGACCTGAAAGGTCCACTCCGTTTCTCTCTCTACGGATGCTGCCAGACGTGCTGAGTTTCTCCAGTACTTTCTGTTTTTTTATTTAATATAGCTACTCAGATTAGCAAATGGGGCCATTTGCCCCTCCACAGGGGCCAATGCAAGAAACTGTTTTTTTACCATTTACATCATTGATTTGGACTCTGAAGTATAATTTCACAATGTATGGATGGCGGTGAAAAAACATAAGAAGGATTTCATAAACTTGCAGAATGGAATTAGCCAAAGAACCTCACCACAGATAGCATGGGGTGGTACATTTTTTTCTGGGGCGGGGAGGTACATTTTAGGAAGAATAAGGACAACATGTAATCCTTGGAAAATAGGTGTCTACATTGGATAAAGGAATAAGGGGAGTTAGTCATACTAGTACCCAATCAGGAAATGTAATGAAGGATTATTACAAAGGTGATTTAAACAAAAGCAAAACAACCACTGGGCTTATTTCTAGAAGGGTAGAATTGAAAAGCGAAGACATTTTAAAAAGTTTAGAGTCATAGCGATATACAGCATGGAAACAGACCCTTTGGTCCAACTCATCCATGCTGACCAGATATCCTAAATTATTCTAGTCCCATTTGCCAGCATTTGGCCCATATACCTCTAAATCCGTCCTATTCGTGTACCCATCCAAATACCTTTTAAATGCTGTAATTATACCAGCCTCTACCACTTCCTCTGGCATTTCATTCCATACATGCACCACCCTCTGGGTGAAAAAGTTGCCCCTTAGGTCCCTTTTAAATCTCCCCCCTGTCACCTTAAACTTATACCCTTTAGATTTGGACTCACCCATCCCTGATAAAAGACCTTGTCTATTTATCCTATCCATGCCACTCATGATTTTATAAACCTCTATAAGGCCACACCTCAACCTCCGATGCTCCAGGGAAAATAGTCCCAGCCTATTCAGCCTTTCCCTAAAGCTCAAACCCTCCAACCCTGGCAACATTCTTGTAAATCTTTTCTAAATCCTCTAAAGTTTCACAACATCCTTCCTATGGCAGGGAGACCAGAATTGCATGAGGTATTCCAAAATTGGCCTAACCAATGTCCTATACAGCCACAACATAACATCCCAACTCCTATACCCAATGCACTGACCAATAAAGGCACATACCAAATGCCTTCTTCACTAGCCTGTCCATCTGGGAGTCCACTTTCAAGAAACTAATAACCGGCACCCAAGGTCTCTTTGTTCAGCAACACTCCCCAGGACCTTACCATTAAGTGTATAAGTCCTGCCCTGATTTGCCTTTCCAAAATGCAGCACCTCACATTTATCTAAATTAAACTCCATCTGCCAATCCTCAGCCCGTTGGCCCATCTGATCAAGGTCCAGTTGTGCTCTCAGGTAATCTTCTTCACTGTCCACTATACCTATAATGTTGGTGTCATCTGCAAACTTACTAACCATACCTCCTATATTCACATCCAAATCATTCATATAAATGACAAAAAGCAGCGGACCCAGCACCGATCCTTTTGGCACACCACTGGTCACCAGTCCCCAGTTTGAAGAGCAACCATCCACCAACACTGTCTGTCTTCTACCTTCAAGCCAGTTCTGTATCCAAATGGTTAGTTCTCCCTGTGATCTAACCTTGCTAACCAGTCTATCTTGCTGAACCTTGTTAAATGTCTAACTGAAGTCCACGTAAATCATATACACTGCTCTGCTCTCATCAATCCTCTTTGTTACTTCCTCAAAAAACTCAATTAGTGAGTCAAGATTTGTTCCGCACAAAGCCATGTTGGTTATCCATAATCAGTCCTTGCCTTTCTAAATACATGTAAATCCTGTCCTTCAGGATTCCCTCCAACAACTTGCCCACCACCGACATCAGGCTCAACGGTCTATAATTCCCTGGCTTTTCCTTACTACTTTCCTTATATAATGGCAGCATTTTAGCCAACCTCCAGTACTCTGGAACCTCACCTGTGGCTATCATGATACAAATATCTCAGCAAGGGGTCCAGCATTCATTTCTCTAGCTTTCCACAAAGTTCTAAGGTACTCCTGATCAGGCCTAGGGTTTTGTCCACCTTTATGTGTTTTAAGACGTCCAGCACCTCCCCTTCAAGATGGACATTTTTCAAGATGTCACTATATATTTCCCCACATTCTATATCTTCCATATCCTTATCAACAGTAAACACTGATGCAAAATACTCATTTAGTATGTCCTGCAGATCCACATATAGCTGGCCTTGTTGAATTTTAAGGGGCCCTATTCTCTTCCTGGTTACCCTTTTGTCCTTAACGTGTTTGTAGAATTTAGTTTCTCCTTAGCCCTATTTGCCAAAGCTATCTCGTGTCTCCTTTTGCCCCACTGATTTCCCTCTTGAGTATACTCCTACTGCCTTTATACTCTTCTAGGGAATTACTTGATCCCTGCTGTTTATACCTGACATATGCTTCTTTCTTATTCTTGACCAAAACCTCAATTTCTCCAGTCATCCAGCATTCCCTACACCTACCAGCCTTGCCCTTCACCCTAACAGGAACATATTGTCTCTGCACTCTCGTTATCTCATTTTTGAAAGCTTCCTGTTTTCCAGTCGTCACTTTATCTGTGAATATCTGTCCCCAATCAACTTTTGAAAGTTCATGAAAGTTTCAACTTTTGAAATTATGGTCACTGGCCCCAGAGTGCTCCCCCACTGACACCTCAGTCACCTGCCCTGCCCCATTTCCACAGACTGGGTCAATTTTTGCACTTTCTCTAGTAGGTCCATCCACAAACTGAATCAGAAAATTTTCTGGTGCAAACTTAACAAATTCCTCTCCATCCAACCTTAACTCTATGGCAGGCCCCCTGTTTATGTTTCGAAGATTAAATCCTCTACCACAACCACCCTATTATTCTCACAGATAACTGAGATCTCCTTACAAATTTGTTTCTCAATTTCCCTCTGACTTTTGTGGGGGGAGCCAATAGTACAATTCCAATAAGGTGATCATCCCTTTGTTATTTCTCAGTTCCACCCAAATGACTTCCCTGGACATATTCCCAGGAATATCCTTCCTAAGTAGAGCCATAATGTTATCCCTAATCAAAAATGTCACTCCCCCTCCTCTTCTGCCCCCTTTTCTATCCTTCCTATAGCATCTATACCCTAGAACATTAAGCTGCCACTCCTGTCCATCCCTGGGCCACATCTCTGTAATTGCCATGATACCCCAGTCCCATGTTCCCAACCATGCCCTGAGTCCTTCTGCCTTACTTGTTAGGCCTCTTGTACTGAAATAAATGCAGTTTAATTTATCAGTCCTACCTCGTTCTCTGCTTTGTTCCTGCCTGCCCTGACTATTTGACTTGCTCCTTTTCCTAACTGTAGCAGTCTCAGACTGATCTCTTTCCTCACTACCTCCCTGGGTCCTACCATCCCCCCAACTCACAAGTTTAACTCCTCCTGAGCAGCTCTAGCTAATCTCTCTCCCAGTATATTAGTCTCCTTCTAATTCAGGTGCAACCCATCCTACTTATATAGGTCACTTCTATCCCAGAGGAGATCCCAATGATCCAAAAATGTGAATCCTTCTAAAAGTTTACATATCGCCACTTACAGTGCCATCTTAGGTACAAAGGTACCCAGATACAGCTTCATCACGTACAAAATTTTAAAAAATAAAGAATTAAAAAGATATAGTAGTGACGGAGAAAGATCTGATAGAATTCTCTAAGTGGTTATAGCAGCAACCAGGAAAAATTCTTGTTTCTAAAAAAAAGTCTGATGTAGGTCTGAAGATGATGGAAGATTTTAGGAGGATTGAGGTAGGAAGGATGGTTATACTTGTGAGTGAGATTTGAACTAGGTGCTGACAAATATCAGATAAATGCCCAACAATGGTGAATTCAAGAGAAATGTCAAATATGGTGAGAATGTAGAATGTTGTATCATGTTGATGTATTTGAGGGAAAGATGAATAAACACATGAACGAGACAGCAATAGAATGATGCGTTGATGGGGTTAGATCAAGGTTTCCCAAAAGTGGAATTCAGGACCTGCAGTTGGATTTTGAGTTAAGGTTTTGGGGTCATTAGGTCCAAGACAGTAATAGACAGCATGGACATCCAGCCACGTTATAGCAGTCCTGCTCCCACTCTAATAAGCTTCAATCCGTCCTCTCACAGGTCTTTCTATCAGCCACTTCCACAGCTCTCATTAGACGATCACAATTTTCAAGTGTCGAAATGTGGTCACAATGGGAAAATATTTTGAAAGCACGTTTTTGTATTTGTTCACGTGTGTTGATGGCTATGCCAACATTACTGGCCCGCTCCTAATTGCCCTACAAAGCCATTTCTGCTGCAAGTCAACTATAGTGCTGTAGCCCTGGAGTCACATATCATCGGCGGAGCCTCACAGATGAGGATGACTCTCTTCTGCCCTCGGGGTGAGTCAGTAGGTGGCTGTACAGACCGATGGGGCTACCGCAGGCTCTGTTACACCTGGGGCAGAAGCTGGTCCCGGGAAGGGGTGGGTGGGGCGTTGATGTGACAGTGTGTTCCTTGTGCTGTTTTCGTTTGACTTCTGCTTTCTCCCCCTCGGCAAGTCTCGAGATGCTCGACACTTTCCCGGATGCTCCTCCTCCAGATTGGACGGTCTTGGGCCAGTGATTCCCAGGTGTCTGTGGGAATGTCACACTTCCCCAGTGAGGCCTTCAGGGTATCACCGAAGCGCTTCCTCCGTCCACCTGGGGCTTGCCGTTTCGAAGCTGGGAGTAGAGGACCTGCTTGGGGTGTCTCGTGTCAGTCACGGGGATGACGTACCCAGTCCATCGTAGCTGATCGAAGGTGCTCAGTGCCTCGATGCTGGGAATGTTGGCCTGGTTGGGGACGCTGGTGTTGGTGCAACTTTCTTCCCAGGGATTTGCAGGATCTTGCACAGGCAGCATTGGTGGGACTGCTCCAGTGCCTTGAGGTATAAGCAAGATCAGGCAGTGACAGCAGATTTCCTTCCCTTATGGACGTTAGTGAACCAGATGAGTTTTTACAACAATCAACAAAGGTTACACGGTCACCATTTGGCTCACTTTAATTTCACCATTTGAACCCACATCTCCAAAACTAGCCTGAGGTCTTGTTTCCTTCTCCAACACCTCTGTGCCACCTGTCCTTTAGATGACGAGTGATACAAGGAGGATATTTGAACATATGCACCTGCATCCATCCTCTGGGACAGTTCCTTTACTATAAGTATTGTGTCATACTTAATAATAAGTGTACCTCCTGTGATTGCACAGTACAGCAGCCTTCAGGAAAGATGGTAGAAGAACATTGGGAGGAATAATGCACTTGGGATGTTGACATAAACATAAGTGAATGCAATTTTGAAGAAAATCATGTGACATGATTGAATTAATTTTCAGTTTGATGGCTCTAGGACCCAGGTGCAATGAATGGGTTTTGTAATTTATGCTGTTTGTACAATATTTTGCAATTTAAAACCACATCCTTTGGGGTTGGCGCTCCTAAGAGGAAAAACGAAGAACTTGTTTTGTTCAGTATAGCTGTGCTTTGATATGCAAAATCTTTAAGAGGCAAATTTAATAGCAGCGATTCTGCATTATCTAACCTACTGACTATAATTTTAACTTATCAGTACAGGTCCAACATCACATTGACTACAAAAGTCAACAAAACAATCCTGGGGAGCTTGTTAATTTTTATTAAATGAAGCTGCTTTCTTACAAAATTATAAGTACAGGATAAATGGTGCTTGAGCTCAAAGTTTTTGATCATCGGCTGGTTTAATTGAACAAAAATTTTCCACCTGTGGTTTAAGTTCTGAGCAGCTTCTTATCTACACAGAAATACCTTTCATTTTAGTGCTAAAAATAAAACAGTAAAACATCCCTTAAGGCATTTTCACAGCAGCTATCACAGATCTGTTTGTTCCACACTTGCTGCTGTGATTGCTCATAAAGACATTTGTTGCTGTTCAAAGCAATTCACAGTAAAAAGCTTGAATTTGTTTCTGAGAGATGTGATAGTGCGTAAATGCAAAACTTTATCTTATCGTCTTTAACTTCCTTTTCCCAAAAAATACACTTTATTCATAAAATTTGTAAAAGTACATTAAAACATTTGTGATTTTAACATTTGTGATGCAAACCTCATGTTTTTCAAGTTGAAAGATTACAGAAAGTGCAATAAAATTCAACGTGTCTCTGTACAGCATGTTCCTCTTTCTCAGGTGCCTCAGTATGATTGTACTGCTGGTCATATTGATGAACAAATGAATTAGGAGCAGGAGTAGGTTACTCAGCTCCAGTTATTCAGTAAGATCTTGGCTCATATTGTATTTCCAATTCCACCTTCCCATCTACCCCCTGACATCCTTTGTTTCCTCCTGCCTATAAGAATCTGAGATGGAATGTATCAATGTTTCACAACTGTCTGAGAGAATAAAACGATGTCCTTATTTCTGCCCTAAAAGGGGGATTGCTAATTTGTAAACAGTACCCCTACCGTCTGGATTCAAACACAAGAGAAATATAATTTCAAAGTCCATCTTGATCTTTTAGATTTCAATCAGCTCACTCCTCTAAACTCCAGTGTGTCCAATCTTTACTAATAAGACATTACAATTCCAGGTACCAGACTGGTCATAGAATCTCTACAGTGCAGATAGAGGCCAGTCAGCCCATCATGTCTGCACCAACCTCTCCCATTGTAGGCTCACATTTACCGTAGTTAACCTGCACACTACAAGGCAATTTAGCACGGCCAATCCATCTAGCCTGCACAGCTTCTGACTGTGGGAGGAAACTGGAGCACCCGGAGGAAACCCACGCAGACACGGGGAGAATGTGCAAACTCCACACAGACAGCTACCCGAGGGTGGAATCAAACCCAGTTCCCTGGTGCTGTGAGGCAGCAGTGCTAACCACTGAGCCACTGTGACACCACTAAAAGGTAAATCTCTTCTGAACTGACAGCAAGGCATTTACATTCCTCCTTAACTAATGAGACCAAAACTGCACACAGTATTCAAGATGTCTTCTCAACAGTGTACAATATGACTGAAACAAAGCATTCTTACTTCAATGTTCAAATCGTCTCATAATAAAAGATAACAGATAAGCTGTTCTATTGACACTGGCTGGCAGATAAATATTGCCAGGAGAGCTTTCACTTTCTTCCTTTACATAGTTCCCTGCCTGCCGAAGGGTCAATGAGACCTTTTTTATAATGCCTTTTCTGAAAGACAGTGTCCTACCTGCTGGCAGATGTGATTATCTAAAGGTAAATTTCCTGAGAGCAGTGCATTCTATGGGCTATTCCTCCATCAACAAATATCAAAAAAAAAATCCAATTAACTGTCAGCTTTTCCCATTCCCTTGTCCATAAATCAATTCTCATATCTTTCCCCAACAACAGTTGATACATTTTAAAAAGTAATTCCTCAAAGGAATACAAATACAAAATTTTCCTCATAAAATGTCACTGGAAAAGTTCCTGGAACTGCTTCCACTCTGTCCTCTCACTCAGGGATGGTGACACAGTTGTCATGAATTGAGTATTTAAAAAAATAGAGTTATAGAGTCATACAGCCATGGAAACACACCCTTCTGTCCATTGCTGACCAAATATTTCCAAACTAAACTTGTCCCACTTACCTACATTTGTCCCATATCCCTCTAAACTTTTCCTATTCATGTACCTGTCCAAATGTCTTTTAAATGTTGCAACTGTACCTGCATCTACCACTTCCTCCAGCAATTCTTTCCACACATGATCCACCCACCCTGCGAAAAAATTGCCCCTCTGGTCCCTTTTAAATCTTTATCCTCTCACCATAAAAATATGCCCCCCTGGTTTTGAAGTCCCCTACCCTAGGGAAAAGACTTTGTTGTTCACTTTATCTATGCCCATCATGATTTTATAAACCTCTATAAGATCACTCTCTACCTCCTATGCTCCAGTGAAAAAAGTCCCAGCCTCTCCTTATAACTCAAACCCTCCAATCCTGGCAACATCCTTGTAAAGAGACAACAAGGTGCAGGGCTGGATGAACACAGCAGGCCAAGCAGCATCATAGGAGCAGAGAGGCTGACGTTTCGGGCCTAGACCCTTCATCAGAAAAAGCTTTTTCTGATGAAGGGTCTAGGCCCGAAACGTCAGCCTCTCTGCTCCTATGATGCTGCTTGGCCTGCTGTGTTCATCCAGCCCTGCACCTTGTTGTCTGGGATTCTCCAGCATCTGCAATTCCTACTATCTCTGATTCAACATCCTTGTAAATCTTTTTTTGCATCCTTTCCAGTTTAATAACATCCTACAGCAGGATGTTATAGCAGGACCAGAACTGTACACAGTACTCCAAAAGTGGCCTCACCAATGTCTTGTACAGCTGCAACATGATGACCTAACTCCTATACTCAATGCTCTGACCAATGAAATCTTTTCTCTAGCCTCTTTCAAGCCCTCAATGTGCTTCATGGCAAACACATTATTTTTAAAAATTGCTTTGTCAAAAAACTTGGCAAAACCAAATACCCACAACAAGGTCCCAGTAACAGCAATGTTTGAATGACAAGATAATCTGCTGAGGTGATTTTGGTTGATGGATAAATATAGGTCAGGACATAGAGGAGAGAGAACATTCAGGGCTCTCAAACAGTGCCTTAGGACCTAACACAACATCACATGAGAAAGGCAGCACCCTCTCAGTCATACCAAGTGTCGCATTGAGTATCTCCAGCAATTAACAAAAAAAAACAAAGAACTGTGGATGCTGGAAATCAGAAACAAAAATACAAATTTCTGGAAAATCTCAGCAGATCTGGCAGCATCTGCAGAGAGAAATGAGAGTTAATGATTGGGGTTCAGTGAACCTTCTTCATACAGCATGGAAACAGACCCTTCGGTCCAACTCATCCATGCCGACCAGATATCCTAAATTAATCTAGTCCCATTTGGCCCATAAATTTCTAAACCCTTCCTATTCATGTACCCATCCAGCCGCCTTTTAAATGTTGTAATTGTACCAGCCTCCAACACTTCCTCTGGCAGCTCGTTCCACACACGCACCACCCTCTGTGTACAAAGGTTGCCCCTCAGGTCCCTTTTAAATGTTGCCTCTCTCACCTTAAACCTATGCCCTTGGTTTTGGACTCCCCTACCCTAGGGAAAAGATCTTGGCTATTCATCCTGTCTATGGTACTGATGGTTTTATAAACCTCTATAACGTAACCCCTCAACCTCCGACACTCCAGGGAAAATAGTCCCAGCCTATTCAGCCTCTCCCTATAGTTCAAAGGCTCCAACCTCAGCAACATACTCATTAGTCTTTACTGAATCCCTTTCAAGTTTCACAACATCCTCCCTATAGCAGGGAGACCAGAATTGAATGCAGTATTCCAAAAGTGGCCTAACTAATGTCTTGTACAGCCTCAAAATGACCTCCCAACTCCTATACTTGATGCACTGACCAATAAAGGCAGCATACCAGACACTTTCTTCATTATCCTATCTTCCTGGGGCTCTACTTTCAAGGAACTATGAACCTGCACTCCAAGGTCTCTTTGTTCAGCAACACACCCCAGGACCTTACCATTAAGTGCATAAGTCTTGCCCTGATTTGCCTTTCCAAAATGCATCTGCCACTCCTCGGCTCACGGACCATCTGATCAAGGTCCTGTTGTTTCGGAGGTAACTTCTTCGTTGTCCACTACACCACCAATGTTAATGTCATCTACAAACTTACTAACCATACCTTCTATGTTCACATCCAAATCATTTATATAAATGACAAAAAGCAGTAGACCCAGCACCGATCCTTGTGGCACAGCACTGGTTACAGGCCTCACAGGCCCTCCACCACCACCCTCTGTCTTCTACCTTTGAGCCAGTTCTGTATCCAAATGGCTAGTTCTGCCTCT